GGCGGGGCGCGCACGGGGAGGGGCGCATGCGGGCCTGGGGTCGGCGCTGGGCGAAGGTTCCTTCCTGAGCACCTACCACGTGCCCAGCGGTGGCAGGCGCCTGCGCTCGTGGAGGGCACCGTGCGGTGAATTAGATGTAAAGGATTAACACCACGTTCACTGAGTCAACATTTATGTACCCTAAACTTAGGGTACGGCAACACGTCACACTAAGAAGCGAAATGATTTGTGTTTTATATATAAATATAAATCGTTCGACGAATATTTATAGGGCCCTTGCGCTTGGGGCCCTCTAGGCGTGGAGGCCGCAGGGATGCACAGAACACTCCCCAGCCCCCCGGAGCTTCTATGAATAAGAGATTCAACATGAAATACACAACATACAATCCAGAGGGAAACGAATCAGGGCGCTGCCATCCAGGAGGGCCCGAGGTCCCAGGGCCCCCTGAGGAGGTGACTGGGCGGGGGAGGTAGTTTTGGCCTCTTCAAAAGTCCATCCCTGTCCACGCCGGTGTCTGGGATTCCTCCATCAGTGTGGGTGACCCTTGGGCAAAAGCAAGCAGAGGGAGGGTCCGGTTCCCTCTGTCGCTGTCCCCAACCATAGAAACGGGCCCATCCCGGGGCCTCTGTGAATCTCACAGCAGGCAAGACTGGCTGGAGAATTTTTGAGGCCCCTTGTTCAAGTTATCAGGAATTTCACGTCTGATGGTAGAGCACTGACCCAAGAGTGGGACCTTTCTGATGGGCGGCCATGTGACTGCACAGGTCACTGCCCTTGAAGCTGGCCCTGGCACCAGCATCCCCCACCCGTGGGTCACACCACGGTGCCACGCCTGGCTCTGGGGGCCACAAACCCCCCACCTGTCCAGGCACCACTGTCGTGACACCCCGGGGCCGTGGGGGAACTGCAGCTCTGAGTGGGGTCACTGGTGGCCCCATCCTGTGGCCTCCTCTCTGACAGTGGGACACAGGCTGGGGTCTGCAGGGGCTGGGAGTGGCACCCGTGGGCTGAGAGGGACAGGGAGGCAAAGTGTTTGCTGTCTTGCAGGCGTTTATCCAGCACCTTCTCTGTCAGGCTGCCTCTGACTCCAGGCCCAGAGGAACCTGTTTCAAGTCCCTGGACTCCCTGAGGCCACTGTCTACCTGCAGCCAGTGAAGTCTGACCCTTCCTTCCCCCAGCCCCACCCTAGGCCCCTCACGCTGGGAATGGAACCCAAGTCTTCAGAGAGCCTCCTGGGGACACACTTTTCTGTCCCACCTCATTTCCCCCTTCCTTGTCACTTATGTTCCTCCAGGTCCCCAGGCTAACTCCTGCCTCTGGGCCGTTGCCTCCTTACTGGCCCTTTGTCCTGTGTTCCTGTGTTCCTCTGTCCCTCGGTGTACTTTCCACTTCCCCAAGCCCTCTGCACCCACTCACCTATTTAGGTCTCTCCCCTGCTAGGAGGGAACTGGGATGTTTTGCTCAAGCTGTAGGGCCTGCCAAGCTGAGGGCCCCCGGGGGGAACGTTTGTTGAGTGAATGCAAGATGGAACAAAGGAGGCCAGGAAACCTGTACACCAGACAAGGGACCCTCAGAGTGCCCTCTGAAAACTTTGATCAAAGTGTGACCTTCACTTGCTGGGCCAGGGAAGGCGGCCACTGCGCGGCCGCGTGATCTTGGGCAAACGGGGTCCTTTCACCGGGCCTCAGTTTCCCCTTCCGAGACAGACAGGGCCTCTCTGAGGCTGTCCCCAGCCGCGGCACATGCCGGGGGCGCAGGCGGCCGAGGCTCCCGGCCTACAAGTCCCAGCGCCGCCCGGGCGCCCCGCCCCGCCCGCCCGGCCCCG